AATACCTTGAGATTGATTTGAAACAGTCAGGACTGAACAGCTCACACAACTGTTACATCTTTCCACGGTAAGATTCATATTCTCTCAATTAAAGTAAAAATCTTTTTTATCTTACAAATATTAAACTTGAAACTGCAAAGTTAACTTTCAATGTAATGTTAAATATATAAATATGTTTTTTATGTTGGTTTTTATGGAGTAAGTACACAGTAATAACTGGGGGAAAAGTGGCAAAAACAGGGACGATACTTCTCCAGTGGAGTTTGGTGTGGTTTGAATAGTTTGGCCTGATAATGTGTCAGCACATTTTACTTAAAGTATTTTCTTCTGCTTATCCAATTCAGGAGGTCAGGAGGGCAAGAGACTACCACAGCTGTCACAGAGCAATTCAGGTAAACTACTATTATTATTGTTGTTGTTATTATTATGATTGCTGTTATTATCCGTTGATTTATTTCTTCTTTTCCAATGTAGTCTTCCAGGAGGGCAGAAAACTACCACAACTGTCACACAGCAAGTCAGGTGAATTATTATTATTATTATTATTATTATTATTATTATTATTATTACTATTATTATTATCATCAGTCGATTTATTTCGTCTTTTCTAATTCAGTGTTCCAGGAGTGCATGAGACTACCACAGTTGTCACAGACCGAAACAGGTAAATTATTATTATTATTATTATTACAGCAAACAACAACAACAACAACAACAACAACAACAACAGTAATCTCTTCCTGTCTCTCTGCTTTGTTCCCATGTCCTCAGGTCTCCTCCAGCTGTTGTCTCCACCCTGTGGCTTGTATCAGTGCTTGCGGCCTTATCTTTGTTTTCTTTAGCTGTTTAGCAAAAACAGTTTTCATTCAGAGTTTCAGAGTTTTATCATCTACAGTATTGCTGTGATTCTTCATACAATTGTTTTACATGTTATCTGACTGATTGTGTTGAATTAGTTGTCTTAGCAGCAATTTTCTGTTTCTGTCATATGTTATGAATTATAGACTTCGTGACTTCAGAATATTTGATAAAGATTTTAAAGGGATGCAGAAAATTGGTGTAAAACACAGTGGGTTCAAATTTCAGGCTCATGTGCAGCTGCTGTCAAGACCAACTAGAAATAATCTGCAATCATGAGATGCTTTTATTTGTTCTTATGGTCACATGGTCGATAGATATATATTGATAGGTTTTATAGACTTTATTAAGCCTGCACAGTTCATTTGTTCTAGCGGCACAGGGGTCAGCAAGAAAAAAGGTGAATTTGATATAGATTAGAAAAGAAATAAGAAAAAATGTATACAGATTAAAAAAACAACAAAATACTATAGAAAAGTGTATGTTACTGTAGTAAAATACACTGCAAGACATGTCACAGAGATTATGTTATATGTATATAAAGTGCAGTGGGACCGATAACATATACACGTATGTATTTTAGTAGGTATCTGTGATGTGTGCGCATTGTACTGTCTGACTGATTTGAAGGACTTACGACAGCGCTCTGTCCTAAACAGTCGCTGATGCTCTTCCTGCCAAACTGCTTCTGTTTCCCTGTCAAATAAACAACATGCAAAATATAAAAGGCTTTGCAATGAATTTAGCCTGATCACACAAACATTTTACCCACAAATATGTTTTTTCCCCTTCTTACATCATGTCATTTCATCTGCTCAGTCATCCCGGGGAATATTGTTTTTCTTTTTATTGATTTATTGATTTATTTCTTTTTTGTATTGTTTGATTTTTATTGTTACATTTGTATGTTTTTTAGTGCTCACACCTGTGGAGTTTATGGCCATGAAGGACACTGGCATCAGACAATTAGGACAGGCCTCTTTCAGCCAGAGGACTAAAAGGGGTTTGGTGGGAGGGATGAGAGACAAAGGGAGCTGCTGGAGAGAGAGTGGAGAGGCAGGGCAGGCTATGCCTGTGTCCCAGCCTTTGTAATGCTATAGACAGAAGTTTGAAACAGCTGGCAGTTCCAGCGAGTACTGCTCCACTAAAGTAAATCAAGTGACTGTCAGTTGTTTTCCAAGGTTGGGGGTGCAGCACTTGGCGAGGTGGCAAGTAGAGTGGTGTGTTTCTACTGTACATGAGCACTCAAAACACTTTAAAGAACAGGCTTCATGGAAATATGAAGGATGTTGTTTCCACAGAAATATAAGTATATGATTTTTTACGAATGCCTTGAATCTGCCCAGTAGTACCCACTTCCTCATACTCAAGCTGAAAAGTTTTGAAATAAAAAGTACCGTCACACAAGTTCACTGGAAACCTACGTTAGGAGGCACGTTTCCTCCAAGCTGAATCAGGGCATGATTCATCATTTCCAAGTTTCCCAAAAATGAGAACTTCAAAAGTGGATAGATCATGACATCTCTCAATATGAAAGTGTTGTCAGTTGAGTTAATTTGTTACTGCCTATAGTGTGGTGAACTGTTCTGTGAGACCAGATTATTCACATTGTTTGGTGACTTTTCATTCCTTAAATTTTAAGATACCCAGATTTTCCAACTACGATGCGTCCGGTTAACTTTAGTAAAGAGAAGCACTGAGGTATTTGAAATGGTAAATGGCCTATATTTGTATAGCGCTTTTACTAGTCCCCCCTAGAGACCCCAAAGCACTTTACACATCTAGTCATCCACCCATTCACACACACATTCACACACTGGTGGAGGCAGCTACAGTTGTAGCCAGAGCTGCCCTGGGGCAGACTGACAGAAGCGAGGCTGCCATATCGCGCCATTGGCCCTTCTGGCCAACACCAGGCGGTAGGTGAAGTGTCTTGCCAAGGACACAACGACTGATACTGTCCAAGCTGGGGCTCGAACCGGCAACCTTCTGACTCCCAACTCTTGAGCCACGATCATACTAAATAAATACATACATAAATCATGTTAGAACAGAGATACAAAGATAAGTTATCTCTGGGCTGGGCTTAAAATGGGCTTAATGATGTAAGTATTACTCATCATTGTGCAACAAATCTGAGCAAGCTTTCGAGAACTAGACTAAGACTAAGGAGTTCATTGTAAAATATCTTGTTTCACTTCCCAGAGACTGTTGTTCTCATTGCTTCCCAGCAGTTTAATCGACTCTTTTCGCTAAGTTGTTAATACAAGTTCAATCTCCTTGCTTCAGGTATGTACCTTTTGGTCTTTTCAACATTTAAATTTTTTAACTTGCCAAATTCCAAGAAGTAGAAAAGATAATTGTTATTTTAAATCTTGCCAGATTCAAATTTCAATGTCAATGTTAATTTTAATGTTATTTATATGGCATATTTCTATAGCAAAATCAATAAAGACAATACAATATATTATATATGCAAACAATTACAATATTATGTGACTAAAAACAAACTGAAATAAAGAGACCACAACATAAAAAACCCTTGATAAGACTCAACATGAACTTAGATTCAAAGCCAAGGTAAAAAAAATGTGGTTTTAAGACAGGATTTAAAGACTACATAGACTCTGCAGTAGGAATATCAAATGACCTGTTATATGAGAGTCTAGTGGATTCAACTCTCTATGCTTAAATCGAGATCTCGGCTGCACTAAAACATCTGGGCAGATGATCTTGGTGCTCTTCTCGGATCATGTAAGTTTAGCAGTTTGGTCTAAAAGTTGGCACCATAACATTTGAAGATTTGAAAGCAAGTAAAAGAATCTTCAAATCAATATAAAAATGGACAAGCATCCAATGTAAACTTGCTAAAAACTGGAGTGACGTAATCCTCCCTTTAATATCGGTTAAATGACTTGCAGCAACATTTTAAATTTTGAATGCAATGGAGAGATGAGTGTTCAAGACCCAAATACAGAGAACTGTAGTATCCAGTCCAGACTTAGTGTATGTCCTTCGTATGTAAAATGTCACAGAGCTGTTTTTTGACTACATTTGATTCTGCAGTGCTTTCTTTCAGCCTGTAGAAGACAAAAAATGGAGTGCAGAAGAAAAGTCCTTCTTGCTGCAATAATTTTCACAGTTGCCTGCAACAAAGTAAGAATTAAGTTTTGTACAAACAAATATTAGAAGGTTAAAACATTCTTCACTTAAAAATGTGTTTTTAAATGTGATAAATCTCAATTAAAGGTGACCGCACAGGAAACAAGGCTACTGGATTTTCTAAATAACACAAATGTTGTAGATGACCAGTACAAAGGATGTGGTGAAGAGGCCATGAAGAGGTTCATCGAGTCAGATGTGTTAAAACGAGAGCTAAATAACAGTGAAGGATTTCAGAAAGCGTGGAATAAAAGTATCGAGTGTTCAAAGCAGATTCCTGGAGGAAGAAAAGAGCATAGTGCTGCACTTTCAGCCTATTTTAAAGGAGACCGGCCTTTCATACTAACACTGAACAAAGCAATAGAGACAATGGGTGGAAATGTTAGCATCTATGAAAACCACTTCCACTTCAAGTCTCTTCATTTCCTGCTGATGGACTCCATGAGGCTGCTGAAGCCAAAGGAGTGCAAGAACTTTTATGTTTTTCAAGATGGTCAACACCAACCACAGAAAGGCTCCACAGTGAGATTTACAAGTTTCACTTTAGCTTATTCAGACTATGAAGAGCTAAAGAGTCTTGAAGATGTCAATGAGAAT